AGGTACTGGATAGAGAGACCGGGATGGTTTTTAATGTGAAGACAACAACAACAACAACAACAATAATGTGTGATATTAAGAAAAAAAAAATTGACGACGCACCAAGAGATGTTTGTCCGTGCGCCACGGTTCGATGCCGTCCGCATGCTCCGGTTCCGCTGCTCCGGTGCCACTGCTCCGGTGCCGCTGCTCGGGTGCCGCTGTGGCTAGACCTAGCACGACCAAACTCGACCCGCTCCGCTTCGTACACGCTCTCGTTGCTGTCCTTCCCAGTCGGTTCCTCGCTTTCTCCCTCCCTCGTTGCACTTGGGGTTCCTGGTCTGAAAATTCTCGCGCCGAAGGGTCAGCNCAAGAGATGTTTGTCCGTGCGCCACGGTTCGATGCCGTCCGCATGCTCCGGTTCCGCTGCTCCGGTGCCACTGCTCCGGTGCCGCTGCTCGGGTGCCGCTGTGGCTAGACCTAGCACGACCAAACTCGACCCGCTCCGCTTCGTACACGCTCTCGTTGCTGTCCTTCCCAGTCGGTTCCTCGCTTTCTCCCTCCCTCGTTGCACTTGGGGTTCCTGGTCTGAAAATTCTCGCGCCGAAGGGTCAGCCAGCCCAATCAGCTCTTCACCACCTGTCCCCTCCTCCTTTGATGGCAAAACCAGGTTACTGAGACAGTACAGCTCCCTCTAGCAAACCTAGGGCAGTGTACACAGTCTAGTGCCCGTCCACCTTTCTGATGACGTCTGCCTCCGCGCACAAAGATGAGATGGGCATTGCTGCCTACACCGACGGCCTCGCATCTGCACCTTTGTACCTGACGCACCAGTGCCGACCCAACTCCACCCCTACGCACGCCTCGCGGCGGGTGCGCCGTAGCAAGAAGGTATCGGTCCCTTGAGGGTGAGTCTAGCCCTGCTCGCTAGAAAGACACTTCCCCTCGCTATGGGTCATGCCTACGCAAAATCTTGCCGAGGCAGCAAGGGGAAGAAAGAGAGCATACAGACCTCTAAACTCCACGTGCAGCAGAGTGACAGCGGTGGCAGCATCCTACTCCTGCTGTCATGTGTAGCCCCCATAGCCTAACGGTACCTGTGCCAGCTGTGTCGGTCTGTCTCCATTCCTTCAACACCGACTGACTGATAATTTTTTTTGGGGGGGCGAAATTGACAAAAGTGGGTAGACTAGACTATATTATACCTATACGCCATTCTCGAGGAAAAAAAAGTGGGTACTCGAAAATCCAGCGCGCGCGCACTGCCGGCACCGGTCGCCCCGGTGGTCTAGTGGTATCCTCGTAATCCGCTAGTCGCAGAAGTCGTGAGTTCGAATCCCCATGGGGTAAAAAGTTTACGAAATGTGCGGGTGAAAGCGAAATATAGCTAAAAAGCTCTCGTGAGTACCAAACTTCGACGTTAGCACCGTTGACGAGGGAAAGGGAGGCTGGACCCTTCTCGCGATAGAAATAAAATTCAGCACGCACCGCAGGAGGAAGGTGGTGTTAGGATAATCCGAACTGGGGGTAGCTTGTCGCAAGACGTGCGTTGAATAGGGGATCGGTAACTCGGCGAGCTTACGCCGAGTAGAAAAACTTGTTGTCATTAGTTGCATCCACATAGATAGTCTATACACACACAAGCCCCGTTGAGGGGGCGACGCCGTGTAAGGGGTACCTTGTACATCCCTGGAATCCATTCTACGTACCACACATGTCACCCTGTATTCCGCTCTACCTCATTCCATGGGAACATCCAGCACCAACCACTTGGCATTGCTACAAGTATATCTATCAGCCCCCCTGCTTGTGACTACGCCATGTCTTCATGATCTTTCAGTAGCTCCAAAACACAAGAAAATAATCCAAACCACAACTCAAATCTGCAACAACAACAGATGTAAAGCATGGATCAAAGCATTTGTTGGATATCAGCTTTTACAAGAGGACATCAACGCAGTAGTATTTTAGCAAGCTTACGAATGCATGCAGGATACCATGAGGATTGTCATTGGTTTTATTTCAAATTGAAGAGGTATTTTTACGATGTAAGTGACAGTAGAAATAAGTCCTACATAATATGTTGTTGTAGTTCGTATTGGTTTAATATTCATGTAGAGCATGAGACATTAAGTGAAAGTGGTCTGAGGTACATCTGCAATTGTCGGAAGGCAAAAAAAAAAAAAAGCCTTCTGGGGTAGAAATATATTTCCATCCCCAATCATACAAGTTGTAGTTCTTCGATATTCATAGCGATCCAATTGCCCCCCATCCTAGAGCACCGTTGATTGAGAAGACCATAGGAAAAAATGTAAAACAATGTCACCCTAGTTCTTTGATCAAAAACAAGTAAATCCAAATCTACCGTTCCTGCCCCACACTCATCACGAAATTACGATGAAACTCAAAATCTCCGACGTGACGTGCCTTCGTGAGGAGGTCAGCATGTTGATACGCTGATTCCACGTGAAAAATCGAAATCTCCTTCCCGCCTACCAGTTCCCCGATAAAGTGGTGCCTTACGTCGATGTGCTTGGAGTTACTGCTGTTAATCGGGTTCTGCGCCAACTGAATAGCCCCCTGGTTATCGTCGAACACCGGAATACACGGCATACATACCTGCTTCTGGCAACATGTAACGCCATACCTGCCTCAGAAACAACACTTCCTTCATCACATCCGCAAGGGAGACATACTCCGCCTCTGTCGTGCTCAACGTAACGAACTTCTGCGTCCTTGAAAACCAAGAAATACATCCTCCCCCGCACATCACCAAGCCTCCTGACACAGACCTCCTATCGGCAGCCTTGCTTGCATAGTCTGCGTCTGCGAACACCTCCATGCTCAACCCTGCTACACTACCCCTCCTGAATGTAATCCCCAAGTCACTAGTCCTTACCACATACCCCAAA